CCACCCGCCGTACTCCCTAGACCTGGCGCCATCTGACTATCACCTCTTCGCATCAATGGGGCACGCGCTCGCAGAGCAACACTTCAGCAATTTCGAGGAAGTTGGAAAATGACTCGACGAATGGTTTGCCGCAAAAGACAAGCAATTTTTCTGGCATGGTATTCATAAATTACCTGAAAGATGGGCGAAATGTGTAGAAGCCGATGGCCAATATTTTGAATAAAAAAAAATTAATTTCCCTTGAAAATTACGTGTTTTTTTTTTACCAAAAAACCGGAAAAAACTTATGCACACACCTGGTATATATATATATATATATAGGAAAAATGGATTCATTACAGCAACCCAAAGAGAAGAAAGTCATGGGGGCTGCCCGGTCATGCTTCTACGTCGACGCCTCGGCCGAATATTCACGCTGCGAAGGTTATGCTGTGTATTTGGTGGGACCAGGTCGGTGTTATTTATTATGAGCTGTTGAAACCGAACGAAACCATCACTGAGGAACAGTATCGACTTCAATTGATTCGATTGAGTCGAGCAACGGCTGCGCGAAAAACGGCCACAATACGCGGAGAGGCACGAAAAAGTAATTCTACAGCATGACAACGCTCGGCCTCACGTTGCCAAACCTGTTAAAACCTACCTGCAAACGCTGAAAAGGGAAGTCCTACCCCACCCGCCATATTCTCCAGATATTGCATCGTCCGATTATCACTTGTTCCGTTCGATGGCACATGGTCTGGCTGACCAGCAGTTCGACTCATATGAAGACATCCAAAAATGGCTTGATTCGTGGATAGCCTCAAAAGATGAACAGTTTTATCGTGATGGTATACGAGCTCTGCCAGAAAGATGGGAAAAAGTAGTAGCTAGCGATGGGCAATACTTTCAATGATTCATTTGTAACCATTTTTTCACAATAAAGTTGCATTTTCATCAAAATAACAGCGAGAACTTAGTTGCGCACCTATTTTATATACACGTACACGTTACCCTTTTAAGGGCCCTTTATCACAGAAGGCTCTGACTTACAAAAGGGCCATATACTACAGAAAGGCCTGACCCACGGAAGGGCATGGCCCACAGTAGGGTCTTGTAACCCAGAACAACCTACAGAAAAACACAGAAGGACTCTTTACAGAAAATTTATACTGTTCAATTTGTCAATTTGTTTAACGATAATCAGAGCGCACAGAAATTGTCTGCTAATCCTATGTATCATAAAAGATCTAAACATATAGATGTGACATCATTTTATTAGAGAAGCTATTTCTAATAAGTTAGTAAAAGTTGAATATCTGCCATCAGCTGATATGCCAGCTGCTATTCTTATCCAAAAAAGATAGCTAATTTTAGTAATTTTTATAAATTTTTGAAGATGTTAGATGTAAGTATTATGCAGTATTTAGATAGTGGGGATGTTAGAATATGATCTAAATAAAAGGCAAAAACGCAGCACAAACATGCAGATAAATTTGTGAAGTTTACGGCGCAGATGCTGCATACTCTATGATTGAGTTGTGGCACCGTAACCATTTTTCTGTAACCATTTTTTGGACGTCTTTTAGTGCATATTTGACCTAAATCGGATCATTCTAACTATACTAAATAAAGCCTTCAATTTCATGCAAAAATAATGGATATCGATGGGAGAAAGTAATGGCCAGCGATGGATAATACTTTAATCTGTTCATTCATGTTGTTTTGAAATCGCTGAACAACACTTCGTATGAAAATGTACGAAAATGGCTCGATAACTGGTTCGCTTCAAAAGAAGAACTGTTTTTTTGGCGTGGCATTCATACATTGCGAGGTGGGAAAAATGTATAAATATTAGGTGTTGGAATTAATTCGTAGCGTTTTACAAGAGATGGCACAAGCAGTACACTATTTCGTTGTTATATATATATAGTTCTGTATACATTGTAAACATCTATCATAGGACGTCATTTGCCGTACATAACCTTTCTTGAAATCATAAATAACAATACTGTATAATTCATTGAATATGTCAAAATTTGTGCCAGATAAAGTGTTTTTACGGGGAGTTTTGCTTCATTACTTTAATATGAACAAAAGTGCAGCTGAAGCTCATCGTATTTTAGTGGATGTGTATAGTGAACATGCTCTGGCTGAGCAAACGTGTAGGAAGTGGTTTGCACGTTTTAAAGCTGGTGATTTCGACTTGGATGACAAGGAGCGACCTGGTCAGCCGAAAAAATTTGAAGATAACGATTTGCAGGCACTGCTCAATGAAAACTCATGTCAAACACTTAAAGAATTATCTACGTCATTGGAAGTTGACTTCTCAACAATAGGAAAACGTCTTAAAAGTTTGGGCATGATCCAGAAGGAAGGACATTGGGTCCCATATGAATTGAAACCAAGGGATATTGAGAGACGTTTTCTCACGTGCGAACTGCTGCTTCAACGGCAGAAAAGAAAAGGTTTTTTGCATCGGATTGTTACCGGTGACGAAAAGTGGATCCATTATGACAATCCAAAGCGCAGAAAGTCATGGGTTAAGCCCGGCGAACCATCAACATCAGTGGCAAAGCCCAATATCCATCTCAGCTCAAAGCTCCTGCTCTGTATTTGGTGGGATCAGAAGGGTGTCATATACTACGAACTGCTAAAACCGCATGAAACCGTTACTGGAGATCTCTACCGACGGCAACTGATGCGCTTGAGCCGTGCATTGAAGCAAAAACGGTCGGAATACTTCGAAAGACACGATAAAGTCATCTTGCTGCACGACAATGCTCGCCCACACGTTGCAAAACCGGTAAAAACATACCTGGAAACACTTAAATGGGAAGTGCTACCGCACCCGCCGTATTCTCCTGATATTGCACCTAGCGACTATAATAATTTGTACTCCCAATAATCTGTGAGAGCTTGAAGTAGTCGTTTCATTTAACAACTTTTGCTCCCCGCTATTTTCTTTCGTTTTTCTTCTTCTTCATTTTCTTTTTATCGTATCGTGTCCGATCTCGACGTAATGAAACTTAAGGAGATTCTCCACCTTAAAAAAGTGAAAGAGATGTAATATAACAATTAAGTGAACGCAGGGTAATTATTATCTGCGATTGGAATATACCTTACACACTTCAATACGCAATCTAACTCGTCGTTAAATTCGCTCGTATACGCACACGTTCACGCCAATCAAGTCCAGATTGGATAGTATACCTTTAAATTCATAATAAATCTAGAAGAATGTATCAATTACAACGAGTACAAAACCGTAAAAAAAATTCATCAATTTTTGAAACAAGAACAGATACAGCATCACATTCTGTACAGAATGGCCCTGTATCATAAAAGAGTATGGCCCTCAAAAGAGCTTGACCCACAAAAATGTTCTGTATCACAGAAGGGTCCTGTACTACAAAAAAACATAGCCCACAAAAGGATTTGATCCATGGAAAAGCATTACAACAAGACCCTGTAACACGGAAGAACCCACAGAAAAACACAGTCCACAGAAGGACTCTTTACCACTGAAAGGTCTGGATTTCAGAAAGACCCTGTATTACCATATATTACAACCCCCAAATCTCCCAAGAAGACCACAACAGAAATTCCTTACTCAATAATAATGACAAAAAATTAGAAGATTCGGTACTGTCTCATTGTCGCACACACACATACACATGCGCGCGCGCACGCACGCAAGCACGCATGTATGTACACACGCAATATAAATAAAACTAGAAAAGCTTGACCCATGGAAGAGCCTGCCCTACAGAAGAGCTCTGTGCCACAGAAAGGCCTGGGCTACAGAAGGCCCTACAAAAGGGTGTCCCACAGAAGGGCCCTGTACCACAAAAAGACCTGGCCTACAGAAGAACTTGAAAGAAACCATGAAAGGCCTACAGAAGTATTCTGTTCCACAGAAGGGCTCTATACCGCAGAAGGGCCTACAGATAAGCCCTGAATTACAGAAGTGCCCAGCATGTTTGTTGACAGCAAACGGAAGAGCCTGATATGTAAATCATCCAGGTTACTGGGCTTCATGGTTTACAATAGTCGAAAGCTCGCCGGTCACTACCTCAAGACCAAGTCCTTCATCTTCGATCTAATCGCACTGCTGCTCGATTTATTCTAGATAATCCTCGGCAACAATCCAATGCTGAGATTTCTTCGATTCTTCAAAATCTACTGGGTGTACAATTATTATTACATGGTGGAGTGCACGATTTATTCAAATTTCTGGCGTGTGTTGAATTAATTCGGTTGCTTTTACTATCTTTTGAACGAAACCGAAAGTTTCCAAGTTTGGGTGTACCCGTATCGGCCCGGCGAGTATGCTACAATGACCAGAAAATATCTCAGTTTTGGTCTACCCTGACGCTGGTAATCTGCCCACGTCCGAGACCACGCCGAATGTATATCACACAGGTGGTACATATACGATTCAGAAATATGCTGTGTTATTTCCATAAAGGAGATAACTCTATTCTGAATACAGGTGTTCACAATACGCCGAACAGAAACGAAGACAGGATGTATATGCGCTTCATTTGGAAAAAAGTATATCGTATTTTTATTTTATTATGTCCTTTGTCATCGATATTTTTTTGCAAATCTAATGCAATATTTGCATTACTCCAGGGAATAAAACTGCACCGATCAGAAAAAGGTTCATCAATTTTTGAAACAAAAACAGATACAGCATTATATTCTGTACCATAGAACGATCCTACTACAGAAGGTCCAGGGCTATAGAATGGCATGGCCCAGAAAGCCTTGGTTCACGGAAGGGCCTGGTTTACAAAAGTACCCTGTACTCACATAAGGGCCCTGTAACACAGAAGAAGTCCAAAAAAGGCCCTTTACCAAAGAAAGATCTGAATTATAGAAGGGACCTATACCACAGAAAAGCCTAGCCCACAGGAGAGCCCTGTATCATACAATCCCTCAAATCTTCCAGACATCATGCTGCATCCAATAATAATGATAATAAAGTCAGGTGACGGTACTGTTTCATTATTACACAAACACGCATGCACGTACGTGTATTAGCCCACAGAAGGGTCCTTTACCACAGAGATTTATTTTCCAAGGACTATCGTTGTGAGAAGACATATGCACCGTTATTAATAGATTATCGTTCTACCAATATCTCCGTTAGCCATATTACAAATAAAGAAAAAGACACAATAGTGGAATAGACCTATTGAAGATACCGCTATAAAAAAAAGCGTTATTGCACTCTACCTTCAGGGTAACGTGGAAAAGTGTACAGTATTAGAAATTAAAATATAAGTGACTGAAAAAATCTGAAAATCTGAAATGACTTTTTCGAACTCGATTTCCAGATCTCAATATCGATTGCACATTAATATTATACATCAATATCAATATTATATTGAAACCTCATAATACCGCTCGGAGTTCTGAATATATAGAAGCTATATAGAAGTAAACCCCACTTCCAAACTGAAAATCCAGAATCGTTGCGATATCATTTCATCTAGCTTCAGTATGCGTTTTAAGACTATATTCGATATGCAATTTATAAAACTTTAAAATATATTTAAGATTTAAATATATAATATTATGTATTTAAATATATTTTGCGCGAACACGTCGCGACTAAGGAAGCAGCTGCTATGTTTCTTCATGTGAGCGAAGATAATTAGAGGACTCTGGGTTAAAATAATTAAGTCTATTTAACTCTACCACAGAAGGGCCTGGCCTCAGATGGTGTGCCGCTTTTTTCGTGCATGCGCGTCGGTAGAGTCACGTGAACCAACAACTCGGGCGTGTATATTATGGACGTGAAAGTCTAGTTTTGGAGGGTTCAACGGAGGCAGAAGGTTAGGCAAGTTTTAAGTAAGTATAAATTTATTTATTTATTATTAATATTTATATGAATCCTAATATTGCCAAAAGAGCTATTAAAAAACGCAAAAGTAGAAATTTTCAAACTTCATGGCTAGATGAAGATATTTTTAAAGGATAGTTGGCTTCCATTCAGTTAAAAATAAAGCGCTTTGCACGGCATGCAACTCAATCATCAAACAGATTTAGTAAGGCATTCACACTAACGGTCAAGCATATTAAAAATATAAATTCTTGACCATCAATACCATCTAGTGACAAAAAACCGCGGATACTTTTTAGATGACCCAATAATAAAATGTTATGCTCGTATCATATTGATTCTGGATCGGGTCGCGAGCGAAGAGGAAGATGACGAGCACTGTGTAACATATAGTAAGTCAAGTAAGATCGTGGTCGGTCTTACTCAAAGCTAATAAAAAATATCGCCCTAAATCTATCATGAATTCATAGAGGGCATTCTTTATGCTTGATGTATTATCAAGGAAGATTCAGTTGTCATTGAACTTTCTTAAGAGAATCACATTAAGCGCCATGAGTACCAAATACGCATCACGCTATGAAGCTGTGTTCCTCTGTACTCACCCAAAAATGTCACAATTAGTGATTGCTAAATATATGAAAAAGTCGAAATCATTTGTACAGAAGTGAGTGCAGCGATATAATGTGACAAAAAATCGATGATTTATCGGAACGTGGCTCGATATGCAAAGTGGACAAAAGAGATGATAAAAAAATAGTGAATCTATTTTCGCGGAATCCTGGCTTAACACTGCGTCAAGCAAAATTGAAGTAGAAAGATGTATTTAGATGTATCGTACGAAACTATTCGAACCTATCTCAAGGCTAATAACATGAAATGGTGCAACACCACGCTGGTCGACTATGCTCTTACTTGACTTACTGTAAGTCTATTGTGGCAAGATTCGATTGATGTACGTTAAACCTTTTAATGACGATCGAACAACAATCCCTAAATATCGCGGATAGTGTCCATACGGACAGTCAAGAGACGGACGTGGATGCATGTGATCAGGTATATAACCCATTCTCAGCCCATGCCACAGCTAAAAATAATTCAATGTCAACGACCTACTCTATGTTCTTATTTCTTATTCTCTACAGATGGACTCTGTACCACAGAAAGTAATGCTACGTATCTTTTTCTTTGGTAACTCTTGGAAACTTTTTTTTGGAAACTCTTGTTTCTGTATTGATTACTGTTTGTATATTTCTATCTATATTTCTGTATCTTCGTTCCAATGAATAACTTAATTTGTTAATAGATTGTTAATAGATTAGGAAAAAATTTTATACATGAAATGACAACATTTTTTTACTCGAATTACAACTTTTAAAAATGGAACTACTAAACTGTCCAAACTCCCTTTCATTATATGTGTTTGTATCCTGATAGCAAAGTTGCGGAGATATATTTTGAGCAGAGCCTACTACCTACTAATTTTTGATTACAGGAAGGCAATAAATTATATATAGAATTTGTATTATCAGACATTGTTAACAAACTGCTATCAAAGATATGACAAAGCTTTTTGATATGCCAGCAAATTGGTGATAGAAATCGAACAGAGTTTGCTGATAACTTGACAAATTGGCAACAAAAATCGAGTAGATTAGAGTAAAGATCTGTCATTTTTGTACACGGCATTGCCATGAGATGGACTTGCTTTTTATAAGAAGAAATTGGCCAGGAATCCTATAAAAATTAGCGTATGTAAATCGAATAGGTAAATCTCCTAGAAATTCCCAAGCTCTTTCGCAGTGTGTTTTCTGAATCTCTAAATTCTTTTTTGACTATTTTATAATTTTCTCATGTGTGTGTGTGTGTGTGTGTGTGTGTGTGTGTGTGTGTGTGTGTGTGCGCGTGTGTGTGTGTGTGTGCAAAATTTCTTATAAGAAATCAGGTCGATTTAAATGAAATGATACATCTTGTTCGGTTTCTACTGCCAATCAGATTATGTTAGCAGGCTTTGCTCGATTTTAGCTCGTAATTTGCTGTCAGATTATGTCAGCAGATTCTGCTCGGTTTTTGTCAGCAATCTGCTGGTAAAACATGTCAACAGACTTTGTCGACAAATCCATAGCCAAATGCGGGCATAGATAGCTATGATTTTGCAATCAATGGCTATGTTTCAAAATGTACTGCCAGTAAAATCTTTTTTCCTCCTTTTGTTCTTCCTACCTTTTCTATTTTTTCTCGCTTCTTGTCTCGTATTTTTTCTTTCTTCTACTTCTGCACCTCTTGGACCGCCGATATCTTCAGTTCACTGTTGCTGATCGCTTAGACATGGCGCGGTTACACAATAACAATGCCGACGATGCCGACAATGTAACAGTAAACATGCTTCTTGAGCTTGGTGACATATTCATATGTGTCACAATCTTGTGAGCACATCCGCAAATGTATCAATTGCGTCACTGTTCTTCTTTGGCGAATCTCTAGGCCGATGGCTGAAATTGATGATTACAAAGGTATTTAATTCTAGTGAAGGCTTTACTAGCAGGACAATTTCTCTGTAACTCTCTTGGTTGCTCTTGGAACCCGATTGGTGGCAATCGGCGTTCCCGATTCTTCCGCAAGCTCTCCTCCTCTTCAGGAATTTGTTGAATAGGATCTTGACACAACTACAAATTTTTATAAATTGTTTATTCCACCGATTTACGTACATGAAAAAGAAACAATTTTGCTGAAGTATAGTCTAATCATTTGGCGAAATATACCTTATATACAAAAATAATTTTATTTTAAAATTAGAACACTCAAACATTAGAATGTCAACATTTTTTGTAATATTCCACATCCTGTTCAATTTGTGTAAAATTATTTTATTGGTTTAATCAACTTGTTTTTAAATATGTATCTAGCTAAATTTTTTAATAATACAAGCAAAATTCTTTCTAGAAAATTCATTTTAAATAATACATTTTCGAAATCAGACTGTTATAATGTTACTTTAGATAAAAAATATGATATGTACTTTATGTCGAATATATAGTTAAGCTACTAACCTGAATTCGCATTTTCATCGATTGCATATGGGAACGTTTGAGAGTGCCTGTGTGTTGCCGTATCCTCACCGCCCTCATCAGTTTATTGAGAGAGGAAGTTGTCAAAGAACGGAAGACACTTCTATACAAATGAATTAAAATTCGAAATACTATAGTATATTTAATACTTCCATAGTAGTTTGCAATTTACAAAGTTCGTTACAAACCAGAAATTGAGAACGAACCGCTGACCATTGAGTATAAAGAGGCAGAGACTGATACACTTCCGATAGTTCCGGTTTCCCATGTCCTAGTAGGTCCAGGTACACCAGCGGTAACTCCTGTTCCCATGTTATACTCTGATCCCTTACGGAAAAAAAACTATTAATGCATAGTAGTGCACAGTAGTGACACTGCTAACATTTAATAGTATCACTATAGTAATACTACTGACAGTAGTATTACGAGTACTTCTAATACACTATAGTATCACTGTTGAGTCAACAGTAGCATTACTACTGCAGTATATGCCGACATATGACGTAATATAGAACTATTTTCAATAATTTTAATACAAAATTTATTAGAGTAAAAAATACATATTAGGTGTTGGAATTAATTCGTAGCGTTTTACAAGTGATGGGAAGTACTTTCATTAATGTATTTTTTAATGCTCATGTGAAATAAATAACATTCTTTCATTAAAAACGCTACGAATTAATTCCAACACCTAATATATATCGTCAGAGCAATTAGTATTATTTCATCTTATAGAAATAATATTTTACAGTACTATTAAAAACAAGTTGTTATTATAGGTATATCTTCATTAATTGTACATTACAATTATTATTTAACATTAATTATTTTTTCTATACGTGTTTCGTTTCTTTCAGAACATCTTTGACGAAATGTATTGCAACTATATGTTCATCCTAGTGAGAAATGATAATGGAATCCATGTCGATTCGACGTCGAAATCATCAAATCGACGTCGACTCGATATCGATTTTATTGTCATTTCTCACTGGAATTAACATTATAGGTATTCGTGGAGATGTGTATTTGGCTGGATAATCGCATGGGATCAGCATCATCCCACACAGCACACTTTAGCCTGAGAATCCATATTGACAAAGCGATCCCGTAGATATCCGAAGAAAATATCATAAAACATCGTAGGATATCCTATTAATATCTTAAGATATTTGTCATATTCAAATCCTTCTACCACGCAACACAGTTTCTCCAAGAAATGTTCTAAGAATGTCTCAAAGTCACAACAAAGATTTGCAATTGGAGAGTGTCAGAACTAAAAGATAGAAGTAAAGAATCGTTACTTCGGACAAAATACTGCATACGAATTAAGATATATATCTCATGAAGCTTACAGATTTTTATTATATTAAATATTATAATAAGGCTGTATTCGAAAACATTACCCGGATGCCCCCCTGTATTATTTTATCCTTATTTAACATTGGTTGAACAAAGACAAAACGATACATAGAGATAATAATTCCGAACGCAGTCTAAGAATATATAAATTATTACAATACAAGATATGACATATATTATTATATATTTCACATTAATCTTTTTTAATTTCATTATGTAATAATGAGATTATAACATATTTTTCGCTTTCATAATATGATATCCTAAAACATTTCCCTTTTATTTTAGATAACAATCACATATATTATACATACATGCATATATACTCGTACTTTGACTTAAAACTCTCTCTATCTCGTTTTAAAACCGAAAAAAGATAAGAACAAAGAAAGTTTTAAGCCTCGCTTAAAATTAAAGTAACGTTGGTGCAATCGCCTAGTTTCGCGCCTTAAAATCCTACTGTAGACGCTGCCGTTTTATAACTCGAAAAAAGTACTCAATATATACAAATTTTATTATAGTGTTTTGAAAACTCTCGAGGCAAGCTAGTATGATTTTACTTAGCTAATGTATGATTTTACCTGAAACTACTGTGATGTCAACAATCAAGGATTGTGAGAAGGAATTATACTGCAGTTTTTCATATTTTATTCATATATCATAAAGAAAACCAATTTTTCAAGATCATATGAAGATTATCTTTATTTAAAAAAAAAAATGGAATTATTGAAGATTATGGAAGAAAGAGTATGAAATAAATGGAATATATCGATCTTGAAAATCCACATTTCAAATATTAAATATAACTTACTTGCAATAATTCGCTATTTAAGTTTCCATTATGGTACCATGTCATAGTCAGTAGAGTGGGAGCCGAGCTCTGTCCAGACTCCATTGGAAAAGCAACCCCCCGCCGCGAGACAACCACTCTGGAAATGGAACCACCCTGGAAATAATATATCAATACCATCACATTGCGCAGCGACGTCGATCGCCATGACATCACAGGGCCACGCCCATAATTCGTGAAACGAATTTATAACATTTTAATATGTATATAATACTTGTATGATATTATAATCATTAATTTTAATACTTTGTTCTATTGTAATTATATCTATTACTTTATCAAAATTTTGTGTATTTCCGGCTTTTTATATACATATAAAATTTTATACATAAAATAAATAAAAATAATTCTTCTTCTTCAATTTTAGCTTATTTATAATGTATTTTCTTTTTATTTTGACACATAGTGATGTATAATATTTGCTGTGATATCACAGTTACCATTGATAACTTTCGGTTATGTCCTTTCAACATACGCTCGTGAAACGAATTTATCAAGAATAAGATTTAATCAACAATAAAATTATTGATATTTTCCATTTGATTATGTCCAAAAAAAAAAAAAAATTAGAAGGACTTACCTGTTATGACCATAGAAAAATTAATCCCGCGAGCGTATAGGCATGCGCCACCATACTCTCTTGCCTCCGTCGCGCGTCGTTGGGAAAGCAACCCCATCGCGAGCCAACCCCACTGGAAATGGGGAATCGCCCTGGAAATAACACATCGATACTGTTAGATCGCACTACTGCGCAGCGATGTCGAATCGATCGCCATCACGGCATCGACGCAAGCGTCGCGATTACTGTGAATAAATGTCGTTCATCTCAAATATCTTCGCCAAGAGAGTCTAGATGAATGAACTTTGCTTTCTGAGAAGCGTCTAGAAAATCTCTAATGTATTGTACTCATATTTTTATAGTAATAAAATATAAATGTTCAAAAAATGAAGATCATACAATGTATTGTACAAAAACGAAATTATACACTGGTATTTGTTGACTGGCTAGTAAATTAGATAAGACTCTTAAATAGCCGTTATGTATTTTATTTATTTTGTGAAGAGAATACAAAGAATGTTTTCAGATAACTTCGTATTTTTCCAGGTAAATGTTGTAAATTGTGTTTTATAAAAAGTATTAATTGTTATTAAAAATGACCTTACATTATACAAATTTTTTTCACAATTTCTGTGTCCGTAGCGAGAATATAAAACTAGTTTGAATAATATCATTAACGCATGTATGCAATATTTATTTTTTTTACAAAAAAAGTATAAATAAAGTATTCTTTAAAATTATGCCTTTTTAATGTAAGTTATTTGAATTTAGCGATGAGAAATCATATTTTAAAAAAGAATTTCATTGAAGATACTGTAATTTAAGCTGTAAGTCACAGTACCAGGTATATAAACTTCGAATTTGCCTTTTAATGATGACATAAATCAGGGTGCACTTCTGATTGGTTATTTGGAGCTACTATGCGCGTGAGCATACCTTTGTCTTTACATCCTGGTACCATATTGATCAATTTTCGGGAGCTATTATGCGCATGAGCATATCCTTGCCTTTATACCGTGATACCGTATTGATCAATTCAAGTATTTTGTACTAAAGCAGAGAAACCTGAGAGTGGCCATGCCCGAGATTTAACGAAATTTCGGTCAGTTTCGGTAAAAAATCTGGGTTTCGGTTTCGGCAGAAGTTAAGAGAAAATTTCGGTGGGTAAACCGAAACTATATAAGTTGCAACGCGCCGATGAGCGTTTAAAAATTAATTGTTTTTATTAATTTATTGATTGAATTTAAGACAACTTGAGTACAAACTTTGATGTGATTCTAATACCTAACAACTATGATTTGATTTCATTAAAAGTTGAGGATGTAATATTATTATATTAGGTGTTGGAATTAATTCGTAGCGTTTTACAAGTGATGGGAAGTACTTTCATTAATGTATTTTTTAATGCTCATGTGAAATAAATAACATTCTTTCATTAAAAAACGCTACGAATTAATTCCAACACCTAATATTATTATAGTTAGAAATTTTAATAAAATCTTATTTTTTAAGAATACATAAATTTGTCATAATTTCTGAAAATCATACGGTCTCTGTAAAATTAATGCAAAAATGTCGATTTCAACTTCAACTAAAAAAAATGTGTCTTCGTTAGCTTCTCTCTCTCTCTCTCTCTCTCTCTCTCTCTCTCTCTCTCTATTAAGACTTATCTAGGTTTATAGTCGAACGACAGGGGAATACTCGACTGTAGTTAATTGGTTAATTCTTACATTCTGATCGGTTTAAACCCTTGATGAAAACTAGGCCAATGTTAACACATATAAAATATTATAAACGATAAAAACAGAACATAATATATTGTAAAATCATACTTCACTCTTTCTAACAAACGATGGTGACATTAACCGATTGAAATCCTGATTCTATTTCCTAAATATTGTATTTAGTGGATTTCCTTTAGTTGTAAATCAAGGTAACGGAGAAGTCGCTACTGATGTGGGAATAAGTGACTTGATTGATGAGTCAAATTCTCAAGACAAGCCCACGCTTGTCGTGTGATGTGATATAAGAGGTAATGATCGCTACTTTTCTTGTAACTGGTACTTTTCTTGTAACGATGAATCTTTATTACTCGAGCTCGAATGAATATGACCGTACAGGATGAGCGCCATAATCTATCTGTTCTCTTATTTTTTCTCTGACGCTGCTTGTAGGCAACTCGCAACCTACAAAATCCCTAGGCTTTCTACACTCGCTGCGCTAGTGAGGTATTGAGAATGTAGTTCCCTACCCTGAGCGATACCTTCGTGACATTTAGCCTCAGCAGGTGCTGACATCTGACAGTTCCGCTTGACAGGACATCGATCTATATAAGCGTATGCCGGAGCAGAGAATTCATCTTTCGCTCTTCGCCATGCGGTAAAGTAACTCGCGAAAATCGGTCTAGTCGCAACTTAAAATTGGAACAAAAGTGCTTAGAATCGGAGCAAGATATCCGGAACCTTGAGAGCTCAGATCAGCCCGTTGAAGCATAGCTTCTTGAACACGATAAATCTGTCTACCTTCGGAGTAACTGGCGAAGGGAGAAAAAAAAACCGTGGTACTATAGTGGTCGGACGATAGTTTTAATATATTTTTTCACGAGATTTTCTCAAGAGTCATTGTTATAAGCCTACTCATAAATATTTGTGTAAGTCGCGTGCGAGAATCCTTGGAGTATCTTCATAGACTCAGACTGTACAAAGAAACGTGAATAAAGTGAATAATGTTCTCAAGATAGACAATCATAGCAGAAATCTAATCTCTAATCGACCGTCCTCCCAGCAAACGAGAATTGAAATGAATTGAGATGGATTCAGATTTTCAGAAATATTGATTCACAAATATTGAAATGAATACTTTTCAATTCTGAATGCATTTTTATTCTGAATGCATATTTATAGGAATTGCATGGAGCATATCTCTAATGCCTTTCAATCTAAAAATAATATTAGCTTTTTCTGTGCACACAATTGTGAATATTGTTCAATTCAAAATTTTGAATAAGAAATACAGTTTTTCAATCCAATTGCATCCAATTGAATCCAATTAAATCCAAAAAAAGTATTCGCTATTTAAAATACGCATTTGGATAGAAAAAAATTTCAATCTATTTTAATCCATTTTCGTTTGCTGGGTTTCCATCCAGACAATCAAGGTTTTCACTAGTTACAAATTCTATTTCCTACTTAAGAAAGAAGACTAGAAGCGTTTCACAAAAATTCAAAAATTTGAAAATTTAAAAATTTGAATTAAAAAAACTAGCCTCAACCTTATAAGTTTTACGTAGTGACGACGCGGTGGCGAGAGAGGCAGAGAGCGAGTGAGGCAGCAAGAGTGGGGGGGAGGAAGCCGCTGATGTACCTGGGTATCCAGGCAAATAGTTTGCCTGGATGTCCAGGTACACCAGAGACTTTCCACTTCCACTCTTGCTACCTCACTCGCTCTCTACTTCTCTTGCCACCACGTCGTCACTACGTAAAATTTCAAATATTTTTTTAATTTTCCTTGCTGATAAAAAAGTGGAATTTGTTATTGAACGATAGATTTTATCATATTTTAAATGAATTTATGGATTTCAGAAGTTTCATCTCCAGGAAACCCTCCTCCTTTCCTATACTGTGAGCATCCTCCTTACTAGTTTGTTCAGTATTTTCATTTTTGATTGTCGTAATCAATTATCTCTGGGAAGATATATATGAAGAACTGATTGCTTTATATTGATATTCATCACTGTGCAATTGAAAATTTTCACTCTACGAGGACATTTCGTGACTTGCCTTTGGCATGCAGCCAAGAATCAATTTATGGAATTTTGAAGAACCAATATTAACATGAGACAGTCCTTTTAACTGGAAAATCCTTGGAAATTATTTATTCCACGATTGTATCAGGGATTGGTAAGTGTACAGGGTTAAAAGATCACTTTTCATTTTTCTATTTTAAGGAATATTTCAATTCATTACTTTACTTATTTTAAGAATTTTATATTTGCCTAAATTTACTTACATCAACTATTCTTGTAAATTAAAAATAAAAAGAATATTTTCTATTAATCCTCGTTATTTCTTTAATATTTTTATTCTTTTATTCTTAATATTAATCAATATATTATTGTTAATTTGCTCATTCATTATTATACTGTCTGTTAAATCATTGATAATATTGCAATTTTTATATTTCACTATTACTTAGTTATATACCGTATATTAATTAATGGTAATTTATCTACATTCCATCATTTTGTTAACTATCAATTTAATATTCACTTTTATCAGATATCATATGTTGGTTATGCGTGATTTTTATTGTGATCATATATGCGCTCATTTTATTCTCAATTGTATATACTAAATTGAGACGGAAAGTCCTTTACCAATTTTCGCAATAGTTAATGAGATATTAATATCTAAAGATTACCAAATACGCGCGTCCACCCGGCCTACTACCAAGTGTACGCTCATTGCTAGCTCGACACGCGAGCCGCGAGGAGTGGCGATGGGTTGGCAAGCACCCCGTTCGAGTCATGACGTCAGGTTTTTGGGATCCCAAAGCGCCAACTTTCAGCGCCCAAGGCGCTACTACGCGCCAACAGATGATGAAATTTTCTTTAT